ATTTTTTGTGAGCGTTATCAGCGAGCCAGTTGCTATTGACGTATTGCACCACGGGATCGGCCGTCCACGATCTGTCTGTCCGTCGGTCCGCACTTAACGTTAACTGACACCGTTTTAATGAAAACACGATAAAGATCTCCATGGCGATCCATCGCTGCGTTTTAATCTCGTTCCATAGAATTTCGTTAACACGTGTTCTTTGCTGCGCACTCCACGGATGATTTTTTGAGCATTAGAAGCTCTAACTGCAAATTTACTTAAGAATTAGGGTAGGTTTTCAATTGCACTAGTTATAGTGTAGCATAATGCTACAACTACGAGCATAAAAGAATACATTCACTCTAGGGACGAGACTGAGCATGAGTAAAGTCTAGCGTTACAGCACAGTCCTAATACTTGGTTGCGTTTGGGTTAAAACTATTCATTGCTTGTGCAAACGTAACAAAGAATATTGCCGCATTTGTCGTTAGTGTACTATAAATTCTGTCTTCATTTTTATTACTTTTATCGAATAAGCATTCAGCGAAATACGGACAATCAAGCTAATATATTCTGTTTGAGATAAAACATATCCATACTATATAATATTATAAATGCGAAAGTAACCTTGTCTGTCTGTCTGTCTCGCTTTCACTCAAAAACTATTGAACTGATTTGAATGAAAATTGGTGTACAGATAGTCTAGAGCCTGAGAAAGGACATAAGCTATTTTTTTATTAGAAAAAAGTGTTGTAAAGGGTTGAAAGATATTTATTTAAGGGCTACAACGCGAGCGCAGCCGCGGGCGAAAAGCTAGTTTATTTTATATTTAAAAAAATGGCAGTTGAGAAATCTTCAGAGTACAATTCTCACGTGATGGGCGTGTAATTGTGTGAAGAACCCCATCGGTGCTAAATGTTAGCTCGCCAACCCACCGAGGTCCGAATTAAGATTAGTGCCCGCAATAAAGCTATTTACCTTTCGCTTAACGTCGTAAAGGTTTTATAATTCATTTGTTGACTTTACGAGACTCCGAAAGGGCCCTCTGTCGGCACTTTCGGCGTTTTATTCCCGAAAGCGGGTCATTACGGAGCTAGGTATGGGGCGTTATTGCTCCTGGGGTGTCGGCGGGGGAGAGAAAGCCAGCTCCGCTACGATTGTATTATTTCAACACTTAATCTTTACGACCGGCTTTTATCTAATACTGCGATATTGTAGGCGAAGCAGTTTGCGAGGCCGATACTCGTGTTTATTGCCTCACGCGAGTGTTTCCGTTAATAACCATTTATGTTGTTTGTTTTGTTGCATATCGCTTGGGCGTTTTCCTCAACGCACCGAGAGGTGCTTTAATTGAATACTCTGTTATGGCGACCGTTGAGGAAAACGGCGGGTGCCCCGAGTTATTCGACAATCGTACAAAGACATAAATAACCGTAACAGATACATTAACATTATGGACAGCATGGGCCGTGTTTGTAATTTGTGTCTAGTTCAGAAACAGCAAAAGATACGGTTTTCAGGAAACAACTCGATATCAACCGATAGAGTTATCAAAAAAAAAAAGTACTTCCTTATGAATACTGTCTTTTATAATCCTTATGAAATTTTATCCGATATATTTCAAAACTTTTTTACTATTTTTGAATGGAATTCTACATTAACTTTACCTAGTGTATTATTATAAATTCAAAAATAGTTCTGAAACCATTAATTGAATATTTTAGATTTGTATGTGGCTCATACTGGAAGCTGTGGGAAAAGAATTAAAGCCACTATTGACTTTTTCATTATCAAAACCGATAAGATAATTATCAGAACATAGTAAATTATACAAGTGTATACGTTAATAATAAACGGTGGGCACAAGTAAAAACCCATATTAATTCTTTTTCATCCATATAATATCAGTTGCAATATAATCTTTACTAAGAAGTTATGTGACTAAGATTGCAAAAGTTGCTCTGACTTGGAAGCGATCAGAATCTTCCACAGCTGACTCACGCAAATGATAGGAAATCGTAAAACAGAAACCTCATTGGGTGTACCCCCGAACTTGTGTCGTCATTCTCTATATTTTTTTACACGTTTTTAAAACTACCGACGAACAGTATTGAAAGATGATTGATTTAAAAAAAATTGTAGTAGTAAATTTATTACCAACGAGTCTGAAGACCTAGACGATAGATCAACGAAAAACAGCTTTTCATTTTTATTCGCCATCTGGACATTTCAGACAAATAAAATACACTGAAAGGACCCCGTGTCACTGGCATACGTTGAGCGAACAATGTTATGATGACAAAGGTTTTTGTATTGTATTCCCTTAGTTTCAGACTTTCTTATTTTTATACACTCTTTCATATTAGAAACATCCAATTGTTAAACTTAGATAGCAGTAATAAGTCATGGACTTAACAAGGACTGGTATGTTAGCCGATACGCCGGAGTGCACCAGTATCAATCATACAGTCGATAAGATGACGTTAGATATTCTTGTCAGAAGTATTAAGTCGGAATACACCCAGGAAAAAGTCTATGATACACCTACTAAAATTTCGATACGACGGTTTTTTTTTCGGTGATCAGACCAAAATTAGAATATTTTTGATAGTCTTTCAATAAACAAACATAAAATTGCAATGTGAGGCAATAAATAAGATGAAGTACTAGTAATGTAAAAAATGAAGAAAAACAAATTCATACACGATTTCAAAAGATCCAGACGTTCCTCGTCTTATCTTGAAGATAAATTTAAATACTTACCTCTATTGTTAGCTATACTTTGTTTTATCGAGCTAAGAAGGTAGAAATATAAATACTTTTACCAAATCACCGTAGTTTCAGTTTGCACAACAATAACACTGGTATAATTACTTATTTTATCACTTTAATATAACTAATGAAACACCACTCTAACGATTTAATTTATGATACCAATTGGACAGCACTATCGTGTATACTTCTGGTTTGACAGCCAAGAAGAAGACGAAGACGATGAAGACGACCATGAAATGCTTCATGCAGCTACATTTATACCTCATAGAATGACACTTCTTTTAGTGTTGCCAACAACTTCAAGGAACGACTTCCTTTAGAGTTGCCAACACTATCTAAACAATGAAATTCTTTCTTTCGTTTCTTCGTAACTCTTTCACTGTTTTATTGTGGTAGGTGTATTTAACATCTGAATGTTAAACGCATCTACTACAATTTATCTTCACGCCCCGGGTTGCCAGGGAAATGCCAAAAGGCATTAAGTTCGCCCTTTGTAATCTTTATGTAACGTAGTTGCAATAAAGTATAAATAAATTAATAATAAATAAATGATAAATGGAACTTGAATTTTCTCCAGTAAGAGCCATTCTCGAGTCAGCCTGGCTACGAGCATTGCCGTATCTGAGTAACTACTCTGTGATCAAAAAACATGAAACCGCATCATGTTTTTGACGTAGAAGTCAGCATCTTAGTAGCCATTTATAAAAATAAGCTAAGTTCGTCTGCCCTTCAAGATTCCCGCCCACACCATTATTGTTGGCCCACTGTAAGTATAAAGTTCCTGAACACGTCGTTCACTGCCTCAAGGACGTCGATAGAACTTTACTCTTCTCGAATTTGGCCTAAATCCATATGGGAACTCGACAAAAAATTGGATTTAACCCATCGCTATTACAGCCACTAAACGTACGCCAATTGATTGCTTCCAATTTGCAGCATTCCTACCACTCTTAGCATTTCATCACTTGTTAAAGGTCGATGCTGCATAACGTATTGTCAATATTTTAAAGTTATTTTAACTTAAACATTTACAGTCTTCTTCATATTAAAACGCTTATCGAAGGTATAACCTATATTAGTTAAAAAATCTTTTAAGGGTAACAACCATTCGATAAAAATCTTTATTCATAATCGTTTGATAAGCCTGCGATAACTAAAATGTCTTTATTGAACATAATGTTGCAATTTCGTAGAAAAATGGTGAAATTTGAATGATAAAAGAATGCTTTCATGAGTTTTTATCTACGGTCTGTTACAAATAAAAAAAGATTGTATCAAATCATTATATTGATCGTGATTCGTGTCAATTTTTCTGTTGTTATTTATTAGTAATCTGGCCTTAATAAAATAATAAATTATTGTAAAGTTAAAATGAACATGAACATGAATGCTAAAAAGGCAGAGTATTGAAAATTGGCTAGAGGAAGATAAAGTTGGCGTTACAATTTTGTTATATTCACTAGTCTAGAACTTCGCACTGTAATTTTTATGCATGCATTACCTACTAAAGTTTACTGCTTTTGCTTTCGAAGATTATCTTGAAAGATTTATTTGGTGAAGGAGCGGGTTCGCGTTATTTAAAATCAATGAAAAAAACACCGTCACGATTTCCAATGTAACGAAGGTGGCGGTGTGGAATGATTAAAAAGAAGTCATTACAAACGTCAGTAATCAGCTGACCAAAATCGGCCATGTTTTTCGTTAATATACGTATCGAAGGTGTATAGTACCTAGCTTGTTTATATCAAAGACACTTTATCTGAGAGTTATGGAACGTTTCAGCGTTATAGAACAATAATGCATAAGACTTTTTGACAATCTGTTTTTTAGCGAGCTTTTAATCCTCCTGTAATTATTATGAATAAGACCGTTAATGTTAAAAAAAGACTCAGTAGTAAGTAATTCTCAATCAATACCATTAAATTCAACTCAAAAAAACAGCCATAATGAAACAAAAGAATTTTCTTGTGTATATTATTTTTATATCTTTTTACAGCCACATTTCAGATACAAAAATAGCATGATTTCAGCAAACATCACAACATTTTATCGTGTTTCTGAGACTTGCGACGTGTTTATAATACATATACAAATAATACATGATAAACATATCGGAATGCGTGCCGCCGGCGGATTCCATCGGGAATAGTTGTTGACAAAAATTGCAAATATTTGATTAAGACTGGAAGGGCGGGCTCGCTTGGGCACGCCGGGCGCAATCCGCGCTGTCGTCTGCCGCGCGAAGTATGCGCGGGAGGTCGCCACCCCCCCACCACCCGCCACCCTCCGCGGCCCGCGCCACCGCAGATGACGCTAGCAATTACGTACAACTATGTCTTTTGTGCCGGGGCCCGCCATCGGCCTCGACACCGCGCCCCGGGCGGCGGACGCGCATTCCGGCCGAGGCGCAATTACGGCTTACCTACTGTGTTAAAATTAGAAATAGCGCCTTGTTCCTGGACAATAGCTAGTGTTAGGGGCGGCCTGGCACGTTGTGTTTGAATGCTACGCATAACGCCATTAAAGCAGTCATGTGACGCGAACCTGAAAGTCCTCTTAAAGTTGCAAGTGAACAATAAGCGCCAACGATTGGATTCCGGTCCGTGGCACTTTGATTTGTTCCGCCGCCACAAGTACGCCCCCTTGAGGGCGAGAGGGTCGAGGCCAAAACGTGCCTCGAGGATGGTATATAGTCCTGCATCGACTGCCAGGCACAGGCGTCCTATCGGGGTGTCTATTATTCAACGACGGGGGCATAATTGCTGGCAATATTCCTGCGCCGGTTAACGCTTAACGAGTGCGCGGTGCCTCACTCGGCCGACGGAGCGTGGCGGCTGCCAAATGCATCGCACGACAAAAGTTTCCCTCCGACGGCAGAACCCCTATGCATTTATGTTACACAACGGTATACACGCACCTGCATATGATTGCTAATAGCGTTTCGAAACGAATGGAAATCTGGCCCCGTGCTATAATTTACATGCGATAATACATAAGGGACATTTCACGTCCAACAACTTGCTGAATTAAGTTTTATTGCCCTGACAAAGTTGTTGGCATTTTATCTTTGAATCATGAAACATCGCTAACTAACATTTTGAATAGACATATGTATCGCTGAGTCAGGTTGTTCATTGAGATGGATTTTTATAATACGTCACTTGATTCTACCAAGTCTAGGGGAAGTGTTTTGCGGAAATTTTGCTGCTGACATGCGAACTGTCATCTATCTTTTTTTGTCTTCAATGTCACAGTTACTTCATGATATCCACCAAGATTATTGACGTGTCAAGTGGTTTAAGTATCACTTACAATTGTCTTATCTCTTCTGATGAAGTCTTAGGTAGGGGAAATGCATAATATATTTATTGGATCTTTAAATTTAGACAGAAAGGGGTAAAGAGTTTAGAGTTACTGAGTTGTAACGCTAGTAATGATGTTGTTAGAGAACGATAGCCAGTCTCTTCGGATTAACTGGCATAAAATGAAATTCGTTCAAAGCGGTTTACTGTTTCTTTTAAGTGGCGTTGGACCCTTAAATTGGACATTTTAAATTTACCGATTCTGCAACATTGTGACACTTTGAATACAGCGTTCTGTGGCTTCATGGAGCAGCTCGCAGCGACGCGTTCGTCGCCCGTGGATAATCGGATCGGACGTTTTCCATGGGATCAATCTGCTCAATCCCCTGCGGGCACTCGACGGAATTGGTGAGCCGGATGTGTGCGGCTGCCGCCACCAGTTTGGCCGCTAATGGAACCGAGCGACAGGGTGCCAGCGCTGCAGAGTTCTAGCAGCATTACCCAGTTGAGGCAGTGTTCGGTCTTACTTTTACTTACACTTGGCATGTGCCTAAGGCCCCCGGCTGAAGTTACATAGTAGATAACTAAGCGTATTTTACAAAGGTTTTAACCAACAAAGGCCCCCTGAAACCTGCAGCCCATGTGTCCCAACATAGTTGAAGCGGCTCCGATTACAAAACACTATAAAAGACACGAAGAAACTCAGAGATTTATACCCTAAAGGATGGATAAAACAGAACAGTAAACGATTAAATCCGTTGGATTAATTTTGGAACGCCACAAGGATAAGTTTCAAACGAAGTTTGTGGTATATTGGAGACAAGTAAGAAAAAAATGTGTAGCAAATAATTATTGATGATGGAATTAATTTGCTAACGAAAAATATTTCAAAGCGGCCATTCGTTTTAATAAGTTAACTTTTGTGCTGTAGAAAAAGTGAAATATAATAAAAAGCAATTATCCTTTGTTAGCGTACATAATAGAAAGTAGCGGGAATGTGCTATGTACGTAGAACGCTACAAAGGCGGGCAGGGCAGGGTTGGGCCTAACAAAACGTCATAGAATAAATCAAGAGGTGAGCGGAGTTCTTGCGAGCGCGCTCTTTGCGGCCGGCGCGGCGTGGCGCTGTTCCGGACCAATGGAGAGGACAATTAAAACGACAATGGGGCACCATTCATTTAGGCTTAGGTGGGGGGTGTGGGGGGAGCGGTGTGCCATTACCTCCACGGGTTCAACGTCGAAATTACTGCCTTATCGTACAAATCACATTAGCAATAATTCATCTCTCCTCACTAGCACTCAGTTAAGAATGTCGCTCGTGTGCACCGAGCAATGGATTCCTCGCGGCGTTTCGCCGCCCCATTGTAAGCTCGCGTTCGGTAATGGCAGGTATAATCACGAGTCTCATTAACTGTAATCATACACGTTATCTCAATAATTAGGAGCGCCCACGCGAAATTACGGTCACATGCCGCTTTTACCATTTGTGTTTAGGAGGCATTGTGCCCCATTTTACTGAGCACATCCTATTTTGAGTCACATTACCGTCGCGTAAAGCTCATACTCGTCTGGCGCACCGGTAGATATACGGTGGGCGCAAAAACAAGCGGCAATTAAGTTTTTTATTTACGGAATAAAGGCACCATAACGTTATTTCTTTGAACGGAACGCTTAATCAGTAAGCGGGCCGCACGTTTTGTTGCCTTTTTAAAGTAACAGTCTTTTTGTGAATATTACCTCAACTATGGCAACCCTCCAATTCTGAAGCGTTTATTTTAATCGGCCATTCGAAGAAAGCATGAAACAAACAGAGGCAGGAATCGAGAACGCCGCAATTTGTGAGGGAGCCCCGTTGTCAATGCAGATCCCTATCAGGAAACGGACGTGGCAATTCGAACAATTCTAAGCAAAACCCATTATTTCCCCGTGGAAAAATAAAACTGACAGGCCCTAACGACCGCTAATTACCGACGGCGAGGCTTCAATTACTATTTTTTTTTAATTCTGCGCTGTCGCCTTGGGTGCATGAAGAATGAAGGCCGTCCCCACACTAAGAAGTACATAGTCCCCTGCCGGATAATTTGCGAACTTTTTCCATCCGAAAGGAGCGGAAGTTGACATCGACCGCGATGCTCCCGTAAATATAACCGTTCAGCAGAAATCTGTTATAATGAAACAAAAGAACAAAAATAGGAAGGGGCACGCTCAACAAAATCACAATGGATAGAGATAAATGGTTGCCAAGTCTCCAGGTATTGTTGACTCATTAAAGATAATATTTTCCATTTATAGTTTAATTGTAACATGGAACGGTAGTAAAAATTTTTTTAATTTCTTTTTTTTTTAATGTGATAAGTTGCCAAACGAGCAGACGGTTCACCTGATGTTAAGTGAGTACCCGCCGCCCATAGACATCTGCTAAACCCGATGGTTGTAGATGCGTTGACAACCTTTTGAGAATTGGGCCCCGGCCACCTCACTCACCAGACGAAACGCGAAAGTATTATGTTTCCACTTTACGCCGGTCTTCTGTGAGGTCGTGGTACTTATCCGGACGAGCCTGCCCATTCGTGCAACAGTCGAGGCTGCTGCGTGGCCCTACCACCGTAACGGTAGTAATATAAAATTAAATATCGATAAAGTTCCGAAAAATATTCAAAGTGTCAGTAAATGCCAGAAAATCTATAATACATGTATAATGTAATATACAAAGAAATAAACAACGAGATGCGTTTTTTCTAATAACCACCGAGTTAACAGTTGTCGGACATGAGGCGAGTTGAAACTTAAGGTCCGAAGACTAACCAGTCCCTGATGTCCCTTCGCGGAGAATCAGAGCGCCTAATTGCCTTGCATTAAATGCTTACGGCCATTTTGTTACAACTACGAGTATACGGCATTCCACAAATGAGCTCGACATGTTTTTGCTTGACGCGTATTTAAGTATAGAATAATTGCTGTTGATTTCGGTGAGACGCCGTTAAACTGGAACTGCCCAGTCAGCGTGACGTCATCGGAGCCAGCCTACTCCAAATTCTGATTTCTGTCTGAACGCTGAAATAAACACAGAAGTAAATTTAAACTTGTACTTGATTGGAATATGCAGGGGGCGAATAACTGTAACAGGTAATGGTACTCATATTAATCAATGCCTCTTACGAATGGCAATCCGTACCACTGAATCTGACGCCAGCGCACAATCGAGGGGTGGCTCTAATTTGAATTAACTAAAATCGAATAATTTTTCGAAAAAAATTAAGCAATAAAAATTTTATATAAGAAAGATGTTATAACCATAAATATGGAACATTTGTGTGTGACGTAATAGGCCGGATACAGTTAACGGATTTGATTTTGTACGATCTTGTTTCTGGTTTCGATTCGGTTCGGGAGTAAGCTTTTCAAATCAAGTTTGAATCAAGAGTGAGTTCGAATCGAAAACAAAAACAAATTCGAATCGAATTTGGGGAGTAAGACGGCAGGTCCAAAGTTTAATGGGACTGTACGCTATTCTGTTTTACATAACATTTACATATCGCATAAATATTGGACATTATCGCGTGGGCCGTCTAGTTGTATATTTTTGGAATTACTTTAAAAAAAAACAACTACAGAATAGAATTTGAGAACGGGATCACATTATTGAGCGTTTACTGTTTGAAACAACTTTAAACAGAATAAAGAAATTTCGAAACTTCTGCTAATTCATTCGCGTTTTCATGGAGCCGATGTTGTTTGTTGTTCTTCATAGTATAAAACGAAGTCCCGCTGTCTGTTTGTCCCTATGTATGCTTAGATCTTTAAAATTACGCAACAGATCTTGATGCGGTTTTTTTTACTAGATAGAGTGATTCAAGAGGAAGGAGGAATTCATGTATTACATGTATAATACATTGCACACGTACGAAGCCGGGGCGGGTCGCTAGTTAATTATAAACAAACGGAGAGCGGGCTGTGATCAAGTGCATGTAACCAGATATCGCTGCGATCACAAACGAAGACCGAGAGGAGCAGTTGCCCAGCTGTCCAACAGATAATGGAGACGTCTCACAAGGAAGGGCTGCGCTGTGAACGTCGACATTTGCGTATTCACAATATTAATTTCTCCTCGCGTCTGTCTGCAGCCCGCGGACGTTCCGGGGCCGGCGTACATGCAACTTTACACAGCTGTCTCGCGTCTGAAAGACGTCCGGGGTATGGGGGGGAGAGTTCGGGCGGAGGGGGTAGGGAGTTTGGCAGTAATGGGGAAACTTGCACAACTCTACTGCGCTTACGGGGACAGTAATGCACATTAAAGCAAATATCTCAACTAGGGTTGTGTGCCGACTGCCGTGCCGTGCTACTGAAACCACGGATTTGTCTGGCGAACTCTCGACTACTGGAGCACCTGATGTTGAGAAGTCGTTAATTGGAAAGTTGCACCGTAAAAAATATTTTTGTTTTAATATTAACACATTCTCCTTGCCTGCCCATCATTCTATTGGTGATTTACTTTATATAAGAATGTCAACAGGTGCATATTGTATTGAAAAGACTATCGCTTAGCTAAAGTTTCTTACCTCTTGCCTCGAAGGTACTCACTAGAGTCCATTTTAAACAGTATTAAGTACTTAGTATTTGCTTGGATTTCAAATCATCGTGAATTTCAACTATCGAATCAAGAACATTACTGTCTCTTTCCCAGTCAGATAATAGCTACCGATCGAGCCGGTGTCCGGCCCTCTCGGGCGACCTCGAATCGGAATGCTAAACGCGTGCTGAGTGACAGCCCAAGCCGAGGTCCCCTTGAGCCTGATCACTCCATGGAGCGTCCGCCAAAGCGCCCTAAGAGCTTGGCGGCCTCCCAAACCGGTAATAAAATAATAATTGCGTGACGGCCCGAGCCGAGGCTCCCCCGAGAGCCCTCGAGCTTAGTCACCATAACGCGTAATAATAGTACGCCGAGGTTCAGGCTAGGCGCCTCGTGCGCCAGGCCACCTCATGCCCGTCGGAACTGTAAAGGCCCCTAAGGCCAACAGTGGCTCATCCAGCCCAAAAAAAAAAAAAAGTCTCTTTACAGTTTTAACACTGAATGTATTGGCTCATGTTCACACAAACCACTTAGGCACCACAATTTCTGTCAAAACGATACAAGACCGTATTAATTTTACTGCGTGAACCACAAAAATCTATACTAGAAATAAATCAGTAAATTATAAAGTGAAGAAATCTGGAAATTGTCTGGTATTAAATACCGCATTCTAATCAAATGCAATGTAAACAGAAGTATAATAGCAATGCTATTTCATTATTCTTGGGATTTTTTTAAAGTCCTTTACGTCACTTGATCTAGAATCAGCACATTGCCTTTCCGAGAATTGCGTGGGAACAGATCGCTCTTTCAAGTACAACATAAAACACACGCGCACACAAGATACTTCGGCCAGAGACGCATTATGGCTTGTGGCGTTTGCCAAAATCTTATTAAAGTACGTAAAAATTCACCGCGTGAAACTACAATAGGACCAATATGAATGATAAACATTAATTTAAAAAGTAAATAAAGCACCAATATGTATTCATTACCTCAAAACCTACGAATATAATCTCACCCACTAGTAAAACTACGTAGATATAAAGGTACCTACTGCGTTATAATTGTTCCTTGGATAAACATTAAAGTTAGCGCTATTAACGTTACAACGCATGAGTTATTAGCAATCTTAAACGTCTTTTATGGCGCAAATAATTGCGAGCTCATAACTTCTCATGAGTTCCTGGATTCGTTTAAGTAAGTAATATATCGTTTGTATGCGAAATACGCTTATGCTTTGTTGTCCTGGGCTTAGATCAGCACGACTCAGTGATAGAGTCTTGTTTAATTTCCCGATAGGGTTATTCTTATTGCGGTTTGAGACTTTGGCGTAATTTCTAAAGATTAGTCATAATAACCTATTACTCTTATTTATTCCTGATGTGACATATACATATATTAGCGAGCCGCCCCGGCTTTCACGGGTGCAATACTGAATGTTTGTTTTCGACATCGCATTAGACACCTCTATCATAAAAATTATCAGTGTTTCTGTACTTATATTACGCATGAATTATACATATAAACCTTCCTAATGAATCACTATATCTATTAAAGAAAATCGCATCAAATTCCGTTGCGTCGTTTTAAAGATTTAAGCATATATGTACGGTGGTAGGGCTTCGGCTGTTGCACGAATGGGCAGGATCGTCCGGCTAAGTACCACGACCTCACAGAAGACCGGCGTAAAGTGGAAGTGTAATACTTTCGCGTTTCGTCTGGTGAGTGAGGTAGCCGGAGCCCAATTTTCAAAAGGTTGTCAACGCATCTGGAACCCTCGGGTGTAGTAGATGTCCATGGGCGATCACTTAACATCAGGTGAACCGTCTGCTCTTTTTTTTCACATAAAAAAAATATATATAGGGTCAAACAAACAGCGGGAAAACGTTGTTTTACACTATGTATAGTGATTTGTCGCATGATAAAGAAACTCAAAACTTTAACAATTATTGTCGGGAGGACAAAGATAGCTAATGAGTTTCCAGTTTTTAATAAGCTTATTAAAATTAAATACCAAAAGTAGTGACTTTTTGAGCAAAATGTTGTGCAAGAATTTTTTCCAATCGGACTTGCTGGTTTAGTGCGTAGATGATACCAGATTATGTATATCTAAAAATAGACATTTTTTAAAGTGCACCGAAGAGTTTAGTTAAGTTCAGCTACATGCCATGGTATATACTAGTTAACAAATATCACAGTATGATAGGCGAGTTGAGATGAATGCACTACGTTCTCGTGAAAAAAACTATTATGAAAGCATTATATACTGTGAACAATCGGTCAGGATTCTCCGAGATGATGGTGGCAATAGCCGCGTTGGTTATGACATCGTGCAGTGGGCGGGCGCCGCGAATCGTTAAGAGATACTTATCTCGAGTTGCCGTTAGGGCCCTTTATTCGTAGCGAAAGAAGAGCGCGGCCGTCGTGTTATTGCAACAATTTCGCAGGCCGCCTCCATCTTGATTTATATTCATTTATGGCCGGGTGGGAGAGGATTTATTAGCCTTTCGACGAAGTGGACATATCCTAGGGACACTGTACACATTTATGTTTTGTTCGGATTCATATTTATTTCTCCGTGCACTTAAAAGTTTCAACGTAATAAAGTAAACGTTAGTTTCATTATTTGATAATTATTACACCTTATTAAGAAAGACGCCGTATAGCAAAAGTGTAAATTATTTTTATCTGATTATAAAATATTTTCATTGCTTTACTAATTGATGAAAGGAACATTGTGATTCGAAGCATTACAATCCATTTCCAGGGAAGCTTTCGCGCAGTTGGTGCACATAACATCGGTTACTAACACCATCTGCCAATTGTTACGTGATGCTATCGTGGTCATTATCAGTTAAAGGGAACACAAGTGTCGGGGTGAGGCGAGCAATTGCCCCAGCACATTTCGCTAGGGCAAGTTCTCTTGTGTCCTCGTACCGGTGGAGTGAGGCAATTAACTGGCTCCGCGCGTCACGCTGCAATAATGCAGTTTTATGGCCGCCGCCCGGCTCATGTGCATTGTTCCTTAATGCGGCAATGACGAGCGCAGGGCGGCGCGGTCAGCGCTCCCCATTGTGCTTGAGTCCCGGGTTTGAACCCGCATTGGAAGTAGCCAATGCGGTCGCGGGAAAGCAATCGCCCTTCTAAATGGTCTTCAACTGAAAACGTACGCTAAAAATGGAAAACGACACAACTTTCATCGTTACGATGTCGTTTTGGAGCACGTTAATGCACCGTTACACGTAAAACGAACATCGTCACGATCATTGGGTTGGATTGGAATAATTTTGGCGCAGTGTTTGAACAATTACGAAAATTTTATCGTGTTCGTCTATCGGATATATCTACTGTGTAGTCTGTGTGTGCAAGAGCACTACTCACGCCCGAAAGTGCTGCTGCATGCAGCCTTGTAAGTACTCGCCAGGAAATGGCCGTAGAGCACACTCGACCTAGTTTCGTCCGATGGAGCAGCAGCAAGCCGTCTAAGGCATCGCTGGATATGGAATTTAGAGAATTCGATAACGAACATTTATCTCCGCCCGTAATCCCGCACCAAACAGATACGGTCACGTTCCATTTGAAATATCGAAGCGTTTTGTGCAGGAGAGCAACATTGCTCGGAACATAAAACTAACAAAGTAGACAATTCTCCTGCTTGTGTATGTAACAAATATTATAGAAGACGTTACATGTCCGCATTACTGCCGCTATTTGCACAACACAAGCGCGCAGTTTGATATCGCACCGTGTTGTTTTCTCTGTGCTCCTCTGGGGATTAATTTGTGTTTCACGCGCGGAGAGTGAAGTATTTGCCCAAGGCTCGCATTCACTTAAGGCACATGTGGGCTACAATTTCTGGTTAACATTTGCGTTTCATACTTATCAAGAGTGAGAACATGATGAAATTGAGTGCATTTATTTTGTTTGACAGCTAAACAAAGTTGCGTATTCATTGAAATACATATTATATTTTTCTCATAGCGTCAAATATATTTTTGAATGTTATGTTTCATAGGAGTCCAGCAGTGGATTCATGGCTAGCTAGATATAATTCGCCTAAAACCCGCCTAGCAAGAATCCTCACGAAGCTCTCTAAAAAAGATGGCAATTTGGGTTGCATTTCAAAGCGTCCACTAAGCATTCCCTTTTGTTCGTTCCGAGAAATGCGAGGTGACATTTCAGCCGAGCCTAATCCGGCATTAAGGCGGTGTCGTCACGGGCCGCCGACGTCATGGGACCAATTCGCCCCAACCGGCGGCCCGCTATGCGCCTCGGAATTGGGCCAACCAATTTATCTCCAATCGATGCGCCTCCACGAATAGATGCCTTGTCACGGTCACTTAATAACGTCTCTAGGAATGTACTTGGGACAAACACATAGGCCCATGACACGCTAACACACTCACACATCAGCACTCACGGTAATGGTACTGTTCTATTACAACGGTATAATCGCGTTTAAACTGTCCCCTATTTACAAAGCGCGGGGTGGCGGCGGCGACCTGTTACGTAATTATTTTCACTTCATGATTTTACAGAACGCAAATGCTGCTATTTAAATTTACATTTGTGTCCCTTGCTTAATACTCCTTTTCCTATTTTCGTCAGTGAAACCGGATGGTGCATCAGGGTGCACACATTATGTATCATAGTAGTTGATGAGCATCTACATCGTCTGAATATTCTATGCCTATTGAAAAAGCTTACCGATAACAATAGTATCATTTCAATTCCGATAAATACAGTTATCTATTTGTTTGACAACCATAAGAGTTACGGAAAGGCTTTCCTTAAAAAATTCTAACAAATTTCGTTTCAGTTAGCGTCAAATTGGTAAATTTATTGGAGAGCCCGTCGCAAAGAAGTCGGAAAAAGATTTCGTTTTTATTGGAACTCGAGTTCTAAGGCTGCCCGAACTTGCGAAATCCGAGACGAGGAGGAGTTAAGAAGTTTATTTTGATGCGAAGCGTCCACGTCTCTCGGAACGTGAGTGAGGGGTGGAAGACTTAGTTTCACGGCACGTTCCGCACCGTTGCGTGGCGCGAGCGAGAGGGCAGATGGTGGCGGAGCAGGCCCATATGCAGTGGGAAAGGGACAACCGGTGTCACGACCGAATTTCTTAATAGGCATGTTAGGAGTTGAGTCAAATCAACTACTTTAAACACGGCTGTCACCGGAACTTATTTGGTGTACAGGTAAGTTGATTGAAGTTAAAATTTACTTAAAAATAAACCTTACGCAGGACTTGGCTTTGATTCATTTTCTTCAATAAAGAATCGGGGGTCGTCTTACTCAGTTGTCGAGAAACAATCCATTGAAATGTCCAATGAAATACATCATGCTATAAGTATAGTATAAAATCAAGTGATTATTTTCAATACTGTTTTAAAAAAGTCTATATTATAATATTATACGTTAACGGTATTTGTTTCGGAAATTTTTTGTAATCTCTTTTCGACCGACTTCAAAAAAGAGAAGATTCTCAATACGGTCGAATGTTTTTTTATATGTTTGTTACCTCTGAACTCCGTCATTTACGAACCAACTTTAATAATTCTTATTCCCTTGGGTTCTGTTTAGCTTCCATATAGATCCCTATAAATTAATAGCTATTGGAACCCGGAGAGACATCAGGGAAGTTCAATATTAAATAAAAAATGTACACTGAGACAGATATTTCAAGTCGGTTTTGTTAGATAGATAGATAGATAGATTGTCTTTATTTGTAATTGTTTTTTTGTTATTATCATTATTATCATCATCATTTCAGCCTGTTTGAGTCCACTGCTGAAATATAGGCCCCACAGACTGCCACGAAGCGCTATCCTGAGTCACCGGTATCTTGAATATTACATTTATTTCTCCTTAATATCAAAGATAAAAGCAGAAAGTGTGACTATATTCATTACAACGCCAGTAACGCTGTATTGCAACAAAAAAAATACCCGATCGCTGCTCACGATGAAACGTAATCAATAAGCAAAGCGGGCCTCGTCGCTCGCTTTCAATTTATTCACGCCAAAGACCAGGTCTTCCCACGTCACACGCTTTCTTCCGCCACCTTTGTGTTATAACAGTGAATCCATATCTCGCTGCCTTTGACGTCGTCATTTCGCGACGCTCACACAATACGCAGCTCACGGACGACGGGGACTTGTTATTCAATATTCTTTTGTTGCTTTCGTATACCTTCGTGCTTGTACTTAAATATGTATAGAGTAAAGATAACATTCGGAAACCAAATTATCTCACTTGAAATGGTAAGTTGCAACTTCTTATTCTCCAGCCTCCTCAACTAAAAAGGAGAGGTAGAATGGGTGTCGGCATTGCAAGTGTCCAAGATTTGTCATTAGACGCCACTGTATAATCCGGACCAACGCTCCGCGATTTGAAAATACACCTCAATTTCCACTAAGTTGTTCGCGCTGTTTTTCTTCTGTTGATACTATGAACCAGTCCTATGCACGAATAGATTTGGTTTTAAAATTGCTTATTTAAAGGGGATATGTAAGAATCGTAAGTATACCTAAGCTGTTATCATTCCAAATCGTTCTCGTAAATGAGCGCAATTATATCCATCCGTTGCGCCGGGATGAGCGACGCGTGGCGCAGTCATAGTCACACAACACCGAAATATCGAATGCACCAGCCTCCGCGTGTCGGGTGTCCACGCACACGATACACGTGGACCCGTGGCCGGAGCCAGCCCCGCCCAGCGCCCACGGCATCGCTATCCATTACACGGGACGTGTCGCGGGCGTTCGCTCATTAAATTACACTTGACGCGGTTCTAGTTTCGCCTCTCCTCATGCGAACCTGACCACAACGGTTCGGATAATGTTATAAGAAATTCTCTTTGATCTCCTACTACGCCTTTAAGAGCCGTGATAGCTCATTGTCCGAGCGCTCGCTTTTAATTCCATATACTCGAGCAACCTGAGTTCGATCCCCAGTGCCGGCACCAATGAAATTGCTAATTTTAAGTGCTGAATTATCACGTGCTCAACGGTGAAGGAAAACATAGTGAGGAAGTCTGCATGTTTTTAGAAATGATACCGAAAAAAATATTTCGAGGCCGTGTGGTGCGGAGGAGGCCTTTGCCCCGTAGTGGGACATTCACAGGCATTACTTTTAAACTTTACGTCTTTAAAGTAAGGCTCTTCAAGGTTAGAGTTTTTACTTAGCCGGTGCGACTACTATATGCGGCTGTTGTAACAGTTTTGGTTAGGAATAAACAAACTCATGGGGTAAAACTACATCGAATAATACCATAATTCCGTACAAGACGTGACGTCCGTTTCGCCCAACCACGCAGCGTTCCCAGGGTCGAAAAATCGAGAGCGTCTAAAGTCAGCGACGTAATTTAATATGGCTGCGTACCCACTTACCTAGAGCCACGCGAATGATTTCCCTTCTATGTTTTCATTTCATTATTTGCTCGGTCGAAAGGGCCGCCGGGATGTGGGGCCCCGCAGTCGCTTTGTTATCTTTACTATTCGGCTCATAGTAAGGTTCGGCTGCTGCGGGAATCGTTTTTGAAGTGGCCAAAAGGAAAATATTCCTCGAAAAATATTACGCCCCGCTAGTCGTATTTGCCCAACCGCCCCGTCTCAAGTGTAAATAATCCAGTGAATTCGCTCTCATAATAATTTAATAATTTTAGTTTTAATCCATGAGCCGTGACTCGTCAAGAAAATAAATTAAAAAGTTGGGTAGCAAAAACACTTGTGTTACTGAATAAATGAATAAAAACCAATATTTGTTTTTAATTTAGAGCAGTTCTTAAAATAAAAGTTGTGCAACTTTACTAATATTTGTACCTTCATACTTCGTAAGTGCAAACACACACACACAAGTACGTACTGAGACACGCAAAACATAAAAGGAACACCTGACAAATGCGCGTGTATAAAGCCGCGCTCACAAAGCGCTTCATTTCCTGGTATCTTTAGAATTATTCATCTAGGTACTCGTGTTCTTATATTCACTTTATTACATAACTCTAAAATACTGCGGTGTTTTGTTTCGGACACAATATACATTACAATACTCTTTCCGTGAAAATCATATCCATTGGTTTATTTTTGAAATACTTTCGTGCTCTTTTTATTAACATTTCCGTATCAATATACAGTCCGAAGAAGTTCCTAGTGATTTACTCGTAATAACGGATACCTCCGCCACTATCTCTGAGCTGAGTGCCGCGTGTATCGCGGCGTAATTTCCCGAGCGGCATCCCGGATTTAATTCCAGTCCTCATTCAATTAGGGCCGCGCCGGGATCGATTGGCCCCGATCCGGGAGCGTCTCCCTCGTGCGATGCAAAAAAGCTCAATGCGCCGCGCTATGATTGATTCGGCCCCGGGCAGCGCCGCCCGGGATATCAAATTAAAACGTCTGAAACGTGCTTTAAAATATAAGTGGCTCTTTGTTGGCGCCCCGGCGCGCCAGGGCTGCCACCGCCCCGGGCCCCGGCCGAATTCCCCGGGAATTTATCCCCGGCCCTAATACGCACGCTATGCAGCGTGAATTTCAATACGCGCCTTTGTGCTCACCGGCCGTCGCAAATAGAGCCTTGCTGCCGTGGAAAAGGAGCAACAATGCAACGGCTAGCGCCTCACTTGCGACCTTTCGGACGCGGGCCGTCGACGTTTAGAAAAACTATCGGCTCCAAACGTTTTTGTGGGGAGTTTAGAAGAACTGAATTGATGCAATTTAGCACTTATCATGTAAATGTCAATTTTGTAAATTTTCCGAATGCAATTATTATTGAACGCGTCCGATGAGATGCTGCATCCTATTCGTACATTTAAAGCAGATTAAGTTTTTAATATAAAACTGATGTAACATACTGTTGATGAAATGGCCTTTAGATGAAAGCAACTCTACCGTTGCTTGCAAAGTATGAACATTTTTTATATTTGTAAAGCATTGTACATAGAACTCTATACAAATTGATAACAACCCGCGTTCGTCTTATTATAGAGGATGGGTCTTCAGTCAGCGGGAGGTAGTAGGTCATTACGTCAGTTGTGCCCTAGTAATGGTGACCATCCTAAGCTGCTCATTCTCCGCGCACTACGTGGGGCTTGAACTTTTATTCAAAACGCCAAACCCGTTCTTTACTCGTTACCAACCCTACACGCTACTATGATTCCGCCTAAATATCAATTTCCAACTGGGGAGGCAGTTGGGCTACTCTGCTCTCTGTTCCCTCGGGATACGGATGCAAATCGAGTGGGCGCGTGGTCGCGTCAGCAAAAGGACCTAGCCACATAAGTGGGTTTTATTCAGGCGTGGTACGAACCAGTCTGCGCCCGTACTTGTTATTACGGCGCGGTCCGCTTCGACATATTGAGGTGAGGAAGAGTATGCAGCGTAATAATATCGCAATGCAGCAAGGTCAGATGCGCAGACAGTTCCCAAGCCAAGTTCACTCAACAGCTCGAGCTTAACTAGTCAGGCGAGTGTGAAATCAAATTACATTTTCGTAGTTCAATAGTCGTATAAAAAGCGGACCTATTTCAGCGAGTGCGTTGTTTTGGGGTGCCTTGTCCAATTTGCACAGGGCCCCTTATCGCGGCAGTGCCACCAGCAAACGAGAGTGAGGCTTATTGGGCAGCTGCCGGGGCGCTAATCAAATTTTATCAATCATATCCGTCCGATTAATTCATGAATTAATGAGTTAATTTGCAATTTCCAGTTGTGTTTATGTGGAAATCATACAACAGCTTAATCCCGTAATATACATTTTTTAATATAAATATAAAGAAAACGTAATGCCCAGCAGGAATAGCGATAGACGGACAATACCAAGTCCCACTTACCATAACTCTTAAACGCCTCTTCTGCCTCTTTGACATATCAACGTACCTTATTAAAGGTAACGCGTAGACACGTGTACAATTCATAATCAAACTATAGTCCCCAGGGCTGTAAAACATCAAACAATTAAAAATCGATGAACACCGGTACATCTTGGCATACTTATAATAGGAAAGAGAAAGAAGATACGACTGATAGAAATGACACACCACACAACATAAAATGTGTATCAAAAGGTTTCTCGTTATCTTAGCGTGGATCAATAACAGCTCTGCTCAAACCACTTGCGGTACACTCGCGGTGATGGATGACATACTCGTTCGTACAACGATTAGGAATTCCGCGCGCGTACCAAGTACAGTATAACGGTGGCACTTTACATGGCGCGTTTAAATATCCCACTAAATTCTCGCAAGCCCCAAACTTATAACAATGTCGATGTCTACCATACGTGATATAGAGTAATCTAGAGAATGTTAATGATTTCTTGTAATGACGCGAATAAAGCAAATTGTTAAATACAACTCCTTTACGATTTTTTTATGTGAAAAGATGCCAAGCGAGCAGGCGGTTCACCTAATATTAAGTGAATACCGCCGCCCATAGACATCTGCTTCACCCGAGGGTTGCAGATGCGTTGACAACGTTTTGCAATTCGACCCTTTTGAAAATTGGGCTCCGGCTACCTCACTCACCAGACGAAACGCGAAAGTATTTACTATACTTCCACTTTACGCCGGCCTTCTGTGAGGTCGTGGTACTTACCCGGACGAGCCTGCCCATTCGTGCAACAGCCGAGGCTGCTGCGTGGCCCTACCACAGTTAATACCATAATTACGTCACGTTTAATTTTGATTCAAAGCGGATCTTTTGCGTTTTAAAACTTATTGCATTAGCGTCATATGCGAGTGGGGCCATATTTTAACAAATAGAGCAAAGAAGCGAACATTAGCAGGTATTTGAAGTACCTTGAGGAGGGTATATCGCGTCGCCCTTATCTAGTCCATAGTCCCCGGCACTTTACGAAGCAGCTCACGTCGGGGCCCGGGCATGGACGGCGGAGTCACAGCCCCCACACATCCCCACTATTCGGACATTAATATTAATTCAAACGACATTTCGCATAAAGGCCCAACGCCGCATATAAACCCATCCGATTGGAAGTTTTTTTGAAGTGAGAACTTCTTTAGGCGCGTTGGGCACTTTTTCGAAAAAAAAGCTTTATACGCGCGTCATCTTCACCGAACGCTTTCCGTAAGCTATTTTTAAAAAAGGAATACGCAAAAATATATTTGTAGTTATGGATATGAAACAAATACTGTTAATATCGTTCGGAGTGCCTATAATTGTATAATTAAATATTGCACAATTTTAATTTTGATATTGTTTTATGTTTTTACTTATGCTTATGTTTTTTTTATTCACTAATTGTTGAATTATTGTATTACCAACCTAACAAGAAGTACGTACAAAGTAAATTAAAAAACAAATTGATCTGCAACGGTCCACTACATTGTGGCAGGCCACGAGGCAGCGTCGGCTGTTGCACGAATGGGCAGACTCATCCGGGGAGGTACAACGGCCAACCAGAAGACTGAGCTGGTCATTGACATAACCGGGGCCCATTTTTTCTATAGGCTGTCAACGCATCTGCAATCCCTCAGATGATGTATATGTACATGGGCGGCGGTATGCACGTAACATCAGGTGAACCGCCTGTTCGCTTGTCAATTATTCACATAAAAAGCTTACCAACGAGGGAGGTTGTCAAGTATTATTTTTTACGACCACTGCGACCCAGAAGATCTGTTGTAGTCTGGCTACGTGGTTATGTAAGAAAAACGCGTTATGCTCCTCTCCATTCGACTCAAATTGACTCTCTTTCTTTCTCTATCCAACATATGACGTTCGATTTGACGACCCGAATGGCGTAGTAGTTAGTGTACCTGCCTCCTGCGCCAGAGGGTGTGGGTTCGATCCCCACTACTGGAAAAATATTGTGTGATGAACATAGTGTTTTTCTAGTGTCTGGGTGTTTATATATCTATAATATGTATTTATTTACAAAAGAAAAGTATGTTTAAGTATGTTTATCAGTTTTCTAGTACCCATAGTACAAGCGTTGCTTAGATTGGGACTAGAAAATATTTGTGTAAAAATGTGTAAAAAAAAAAAAAAATATGCCAATTAAACGAGCAACGTCATGCTAAACTGGCGCGGTGTTAGCTACGTTTTATTCAATTTACTCTTCTTCTCGTGTCTTATTTTCATGAAATAAATATTATTTTAAAATCTCAAATGATACCTTTATGATTTGATTTTTGTATTAAAAATGATAGAAGAAAATATTCAGATTTGGATTTTTTGCTTTCAATTTTCCTACCGCTCTTTACTTTTCACCCCTTGTTAAATGTCACGTTGCATAACGTATTGTCAATGTCTTTTTTATGGTTTTTTAAAGTTGAAAAAGATGTAATTCTATCGACACTATTAAACTTCTCAACGGAATAATCCAACACAATGGAGCAAAACAATGATTCTAATTTTTTCTTAATTGAAATGATGTTATTTTTACCAAAATCTGAAGAATTATTTTTCAGGTTAAGTTTGCATGTAGCATTAAAAAATGTATAATAAAAAATGTTGGTAAATATCACATGTTGGTTAGACTTTTTTATTTTATTATAATCTATCGCACGTGATTTGTATGTTAGATGTAAATATCATAATCTTACATTATGCTTAATAAAATATATTTCACAATTGTACTATGTATTTTACCCGTAAATTATTTCTGTGACATAATATCAGCTTTCCAGCATTAGCTTTCTTTATAAGAGGAAAAGCATTTTGGTTCTTATTCATGCATACCTATTATTATATAGTACTTTTTAGTATGTATATAACTAATTCTTAGTATGTAGGTGCCTACATACCAACAAGTAGTAAATATTCGTTAATGTACGCTAAACATCAAATATCTCACGCAACGATTCTTGGAGCGAACTTCAATACAAATTAAGCTGCATTAAACGCGCTCTACAAGAGGTGACAGGTGCTAAGCTTGTCGCCATTTTAGCGCTCGAAGCAACTTTGTGTATCGTGCAATACATTATGCAAATCATTATAGAGGCACAGACACATAGACAAGCAGTCGCGCTTTATGAATACGATATAATGGATGCATAACCCCCATGCTCTATATGCAAATCACCGTATTCATGCTTCCCCGATATCTGCAGCATACGGGCCACATACGGCGAGCTTTAGCAACCGAAATCAAATGGAAAACAATGTCACCCCTAATTTATACACCGACTTTTAGGTTGCAAAGTATTTATGCAAAGTATTCGTATAAATAAGGGTACATGTGAACATACAATTAAGTAAAGTCATTTTTACGAACTTTCTCGCGTGTAATTTGAACTTTAAACTTAAATGAGACGCGACAAAGAGTTTAATTTAATAAAATTATAAATATGCATTATAAATATAGTATAATGACCGGCACGTATTCAAATGGACTACATAATGAAGAAATATTAGAAAAAAGTACAGCAATTAGTAGATATCCCGGTGTCAGTTATTACGAAAATGTTCCGCCAATTTACGTTAATATAATTGCAGACTGCGCACACAGAAACGTCTCGCTTCAGTTTCGTTAAGTGTAAAATCGATGTAAAACTAAATCATATGCGCTTAATTGACACATTTGAACCAGTAGCGCTAGCTTCTACGTAATGCATTAAATATGTGTATTTTTATCTTACAAAGCTAATTAGCAATGTCTTATATCGGCGCTCACGCACTATCTATTAGGATAGAATATATTATCTGAGAGTTTAAGACGGTGTTAATGAGAATCCATCATCAAATTGAAGAGCTTAGGCATGTTATAAAGGGATTTTCCTTCTTTTGTGACTTTCTGATTACGTCTTACCTCTGAGCTACGTATTCGTTACGGACCTTTATCGAAGCTGTCAATTACTTTTCCCCGAAAGTCGAGGTTACCAGTTTTCGATCGCCAGCACATTGGCACCGGATTCAGAGAAAGTTCGACGGTAATTAAACTCGACAGTTTTTGGAAGTAACGCCACCGTTACTCGCGCTACCCTTGTAAGGCGCAGGTAGTCCAAATTTGTGTTTTCGTAGGACCCATTAAGCCATCGCCGTATTGCGAAAGTGAACCATACCGACCACTATTACGGTCGTAAATAGAACGCAACGCAAGACCTCACAAGTTCCATCAACAGCGACGCAGAAATGTTTGAATAGGTGTCGAAGTGTATAAACAGAGCCTCAGTAAAAAGTGTAAATACACGTTACATTTCTGTTGGAACTATTTCGAGATGGCTCCACGGAAAATTCCACTGATGCAAACCATCCGTTTATTAAAATCTTTATACGAATGTTGCAACGTCATCAAGGAATTTTTTACAGCTAACATAGGATTTTTTTTGTACAGTTGAGTAAAACAATTCATTTCAACAGAATTTTGTTGTTCAAAGTATAAAACGTTCAGTCTGCTCATTTAGGAGAAAAAGGCCAGTACACTAAATAATTTAATATTTAGGACATATTTTTACACAACGTCCCAAAATAAGCAACTCTTGTACTATGGGTACTAGAAAACTGAGAAACATGCTTTTTTTTGTAAATGAATTCATTTATACATATGTATATAAACACCCAGATACTGGAACACCACTGTTCAACACACAATACTTTGCCAGTCGTGGGGATCGAACCCACACCCTCTACAGCGTAAGAGGCTGGGTCACTACCCACTACGTCATTCGGGTCTTCAAAAACGTCGTCTTTGTTTTGGACAAATACGGTTTTCGCTTTAGGTAAAATGTTAATGCGGATAATTTGCGTTGGGTCAATTAAATACGCACACGTTTCCGAACACCTTAGCGAACGCATAAGGTACTATTCGCGGTCAGAGGGGCGTCGCTAATCGCATCATGTGCGTGGCGCAGCCGTGCAGCGCATCGGGGCCGCGTAATAAACATACTGAATGTGAGTGAATCTGGTTTCGGGGAAGCTCACAATGGAGCGGCGAGCGGCCGGCTCGCCTGTCGTCTGTCTCCGCGTAGACTTGCAACTTAATCAGCTTCCCCGAAACGCTCGGCGGCCGGAGACGAAGAGATACGATCGACCCGAGCGGCCGTGGAACAGTAGCGAGCATTGCGCCCCCAAAAACTAAACAGAGCCTGCAACACGGTAGTGGCAGCAAGGAAGCTTGTCATCGACAGCGTCTACATAGGTACGTCACGTTACTTTGCAGATAGACCGACTGTCTATCTGCAAAGTATCGTAGGTGATCCTTTCGATAGAGGCGTTGAAACTTGCATTTATAGTACGAAAAAATATCCTCATTCTCTAACGAATTTCCGCGTAATAAGATCAAGAATAGTGGAACATTCATTACATTTTAAAGATTTTAATTGATTGACGCAGCGTAAACCCGTATTTATATTAAAACAATTAAGTGAAGATTAAACCCTAAAGCATTGGAACAACATATAAGATGTTAACTGTGACAAAGTAAAGTTATAATGTACTAAAATACTACTAAATTATTTTATTAATAAGTTTGACGGTTTGAGTCTTGAGAACATCTTAGCCTTAGCAATGTCAAAGTCAAAGTCAAATATTTCAATATAGAAGCATTCACTTACTTATTGATAGTCAAAAAACTCTACCACCGGTTCGGAAGGTAAGCCACTGACCTGAGAAGAACCGGCGTAAGAAACTCAGCGGGACATTTTTTATTTTTTTTTTACTTGCCAAAAAAATTTACAAATATGTGTACAATTATTAAACTCCACTTGAAAGAGCCTGGAGCGATCAATTCATTTCCAGAGTGTGTTATCATTCATATAATCACTAATACTATAATAGCCATTAACACACAAACGTTCCTTTACAAGTTTTTTGAATTTAGCAACGGATTCATTTTGAACGTTTTCTGGGATTTTGTTGTAAAAGCGTATACATTGTCCCATAAAAGATTTACTTATTCTACGCAATCTAGTTGAGGGTAGAACTAATTTATGCTTGTTCCTAGTATTTACATCATGCACATTACTAAATCTTGAAAAGTTATTCTTATTTTTGTGGACATACATAACATAGCAACGTGCAACAGCAAGTAAACGTGTGTGTTTAAACATTAGGAGAACAAACATAATTTATTCAAGTTGAATTATTTACTTGTAGAACATTTATCTGGTATTTTTATGTGAAAAGGTGGCAAGAGAGCTGGCGGTTCACCTGATGTAAAGTAAGATAACCACCGCCCATTCGTATAACATCCGGAGCTGATACGTGGCCTTACCACAATGAAAACTTATACTTTAAAACTTGAAATAAACATGTTACTTTTGTTCATCGGGGAACATGCAACATGGTACTAATGACGAGCATAAAAGTCAATCCAATACACGATCAGCACTGCGTAATTAATATGGTAAATGGCAAATTTATTCGTTTAAATCCTTATCAATAATAATGTTCATTATGGGTGACTTGCCAGGTAACTTTCACCGATATTTTTAATTATGCAGCGAAAGGTTCGCCAACAAATTTGCTTGGCGAAACGAGTTTAGCACTGACGATCTCTGCTCATACTGTTTAGGTGAGAACGGACGAGCTTTTTATATTGTTAGTTGTTATTTTTAATGTGCGTCTGATCTGGTTGCTGATCGGTTAGCGAATATCTGCATAATCGAACTGTTTATTCATTCATCGCGCTGCCTTTGTTGTCTCCGGCGGCGCGACCGGCCCGGGCACAAATCGGCTTCAAAGGATTATTGCAACCCTTTTCGGGACTAAGCCCTTGACAGTTTCCGCGACGTCAGAGAGATTTGTGTTTAAGTTCGGCCGCCCGGAGCCGTCTGCTTATTTCGCCCCCCGGGCCCCGATCTGTTCATTCGCCAGCGCTGTTTACGGAGTTGAAGAAAATATTAAACTCGCTTTCGCCGATTAAATTCAACCGAACCGTAGCCCCGAGTCGCGGGATTGTTATTCTCCTCAATGCGTAATCAGCCCCTTTGAAATTTAAGTTGAGGGAGCTCGCGCCGACTGAATGCGCTAAGATCCACTAACTTAACGGCGTGCTTACTGAACGTTACCCGTCGACGGCGCACGGGTTTTTGTTATCTCTTTTAGCAGCCGAGTGTTAGGAGCGGGGTTCGATTCCCAGCGGAGCGATGACCGTGCGATCGTCCGTGAGGGTCATTCGGCAGACGAAGCGCGCCGAAATTTCACGGAACCCCCTCCCATTAAAGCGGAAATCGTAACATTAGCCGCGCGTGAGCGTTATCTCCCGCAATAAACTGGGGAATGTGAGGTTAAGTGCGCCGTGGTGGTCTGCGGTCTGCATTGGCGCCCGCTAGCCCCAGGCCAGGGTTCGGGGTCCAAAACTCCAACAAAGGAAAACAGTCCAAACGTCCAAATTTTTCTTCTTCCAGTATCTAGTAAGAATTAAGATCGTGGCATTTTTCGGGCCAGCCTACCTACCAACTTTGCCCACAGTCCATTTGGCTCAATGAAAGTGATTAAATAAACCAATAAAAATTCACATTTCAAGTTTCAGTTTGAACGTAGCTAACAATAAAATTAAACATAAATAGGTCTACTATAGGAAAATAATTAAAGTCCATTCTCTAAAAGTTTTCTCGACCGATACCTACATTAGAGAGGAATCGAAAATATTGTTGTGTCTATGTAGTATGCTTGTATACAATATTTATAAGCCTGATACATCAGCCAACAATATGAAGCCATGACGAGGCTCTACAAATATTTCTAAAGCGCTATCATCCTGACCTGATCTCGTTAGTGCTGCGACCAATGGCCTCACACAAAGCAACTTACAATGTTTGTTCTATCATACGTACGTATAATACCTTCAAAGAGCTCTAAAAAGGCTCATTCTCGACAAATCTATATATTAACACGTGAAGCAAAAACGAGGGAGGAGTAGTTTGTACATTCCTTACGCCTTTACTAAAAGGCCTGAGAAATTTAATAATATTATCGTTATTATACAAACGCAATATCGATTTACGGCTAGCTACATATACGCAGACTAGCGTATTGGAGGCAAAGAGATAAGCAAACTCGAAAGGCGTTTGACAGACGTGACGTTTCAAGGGAACTCGATAGACGTGAGATTTATGTTGTTGGTTTGTTGGTGGCATTGGTTTGTGTAGACAATTCTCGAGTCATGAGCATTTGATTGGAACATTTATTATATTTTTTAAATTACAGAGGAATCTGATCTTTGTAGGGTCTGTCAGAAGGTGCAGTCCTTTGACCGTTCTGGTTTGTTGCTGTGAGCCAAGTAAGCTGTAAAGGTTTCTATTTGCGATTGATTGCTGAACCCAGAAACTTCATTCCATTGGCGGCCTTGGGAAATTTAATCTTAAAATATTTGTTTCATTTCGAACAGAGCTTTATCTAATAAATAAAAATAAATGCATATATGGGAATATTTCAAAACAATTTTATCCACTTCCGGGTCCACCGGATAACTTCTGAATTTGCACACGTATCAAAAGCTCATGATAGAATAGTTATTGTATATTAACGAAATGGTATTTCACCGATCAGCTGAACTTTTTAGATATGTCGGGGGTATTGGTTATCATAAACAAGGTTTTTTTTAGATCTTGAACTTAATTAAGTAATTTTCTCAACGTATAAGAGACTATCCGCGTGTTTCCGACAGTGTGGTGTTGGCGTTCGGGCGTTGCGGGGCGCCGGGAGTGTCCGGTCCGCCCCTGATCTAGCATCATTTATCTGGTGTCGGGAGCAGCGAGCTCGCGGCTCATTACTCACACTCGGCTGGGACACACGCCCCTTAGCGGGATCGGCCCCGCTGCCATGCAAACCGCATAGTTAAGTTTCATTATTTCATCTAAACAATCATTAATTAGTGCCATAACAGAGAAGTAAGTTTCTGTACGTATAATTTGCCAATCACAGTCTTCAACTCAAGGTCAGTACGTAAGAACCACAGTTCTTCGCTTTAACTTTAACCTCCTAGGAGATTAGAAGACTAGACTGCTCCATTAGTCACAAAGCTTTTGTAAACCTCAAAAAGTAAATTTAAAGTATTATTTTTGACATATAAATAAAAGTTCACTGCGTTCCATAACACAATGCAGTGCAGCCAATGAAACGTGACAAATTGGACGTCAGTTTCATTTCGGTCTATTTCACAGGCGCACACGTAGCAAACTGTGTGCGTATTGTCTGTCGGCCTTACTTAGTTTATATCAGGATGTTTTTAACGAAGCGTCGATAAACGTGGGCTAGCTTTTAAACTATTCGATGTTATCTATAGATATATTACAACTTGCATAATAACAGGCCAAGCTTAAACTTATACCTAACGCCTACATATAATCGTTTAGGGGCAATAGCCGCCAACAGTACGGCTACATCTAATTTATAGTTTTAATTAAATACGTTGAAAAGACAAAGCTCAAGGCATCTTTATCTGTTCGTTAAAAGACTGTACTATCCTCACCGATACTGACTTGATCACCACCTTATCTGGTGGGAAGTGGCGATGCAGTTGTTGTTGGTAGCTCGTTCTAACCCTAGAAAGGACACGGGTAAATTGTTCAAAGCCTTTGCACACATTACTCGCTTCGAATGCGAGCACTGTTAATTTGCCTTGAGAATAATGTGCGTCTGTGAGCCGAGGTTGGCAGCCGCTCCGGGGCACAGACCCCTGGCACCTCGGCAGGGGCCGCCCGCATGCTTTGCGGTTTGGCCGCGCCGCACGCCAGGCGACGTCTCAACCCACCCCCCACCCCAAGCCCGCTCCAAGTTTCCGTGGAGCACGGAACACAATCTTCGTTGTTACATAAGCCCAAATCAATATCCATGAACTTCTTTCAATAAGCTATTACAAGAAACTCTCTCTCTTGATATCTTCTATTGCTTGCTACATATTAAAATTCGCAGCATATATTTCCAGATCACTTCACAAGATTATAAATATACGGTTTAATTCATGTTTTATAGATTAACGCTCTTTCTCTGAAACACTGATCATCGTAGATGTCAACTAATCAGCTGTCAAATGGCTTTTCAAATTTAATTTTAGTTGGCACAAGGATGGCTAAACTCTCTGAATTGACCAAAAAGATTTTCTTAATGATCAGCATGATCAATCCAAAGAGTTTAATAAGAGTTGACTTCTACGATGATCAGTATTTCAAAAACCGGGCTTAGTTTTGCTGAACTGACAAGTGGTGTCTCCTTAACCCGGTTGCAAATGAGATAAAATCATATATGCATATGAGAGATGTAAACAAGTATAGCCACTCACTATAGCCCCAGATGTGTCTCTGGAGTCCAGTTAAATTAATATGAGACCATATGGAGGTTCAAGCTGAACCAAACCCAAACGCAAAGAGAATTTTTAAACTCCGTTCATAAATGATTTCTGTTATGACAAACAAAAAATATAATACAAACGAATTGAGTACCATCTCCTTTTTATAAGTCGTTTGAAAAGGAAAAATGACTCGCTTTTGGGTTCGAGATTTCCGTAAATAGACTCACCGATCACGAACTCTAAACAGTGCTAACTTCATAAACATTTGAATAGCTTGGCTGTATAAGTTTTCCTATTATCTTTGATATGAGGTCGAATATCGTATTTCGATGAGTAATAAACCGTGATACTTTATCCGTTTTGTTTGTTAACGCTGAATTCTCAATTAATTGTCAGATGTTCAACCGAGCGGTAAATGTAACGGGGCTGTAAGCGGTCAAACAAACAAAGGATTGCCCTCACCCTCCCATACCTTTATAAGCCCTTGTTATATTTTACAAATAACTCTTTTCATATACGCCGTGGAAAACTCCTTTATAGTATTGATGCTTTGAATTTTTTTTAACTGCCGAAATGGTTCAAAACGACATCAATGAAAGTAACTCTAGTGTGCGTGAATGTAAAAAAGCGGTTACATTATTAATTTATTATATAAGTTATAAATAATACATAAGGTACTATTAATTTATAACATATATAAATATTAATTATATATGTTATAAATTAAAAATATTACACCAAATTTGAGCCGTGATAGCTCAGTGTTCGGGCGCTCGCCTTTAATTCAATATACTCGAGCAACCTGAGTTCGATCCCCGGTGCCGGCACCCATGAAGTTTTTAACTTTAAGTCGTGATAAGTCAGCATTATCACGTGCTCCGCGGTGAGGGAAAACATCGTGAGGAAACCTGCATATTTTCGAAATAATAACAAAAAAAAAATTTCGAAGATATGTGAAGTCCGCCGATCCGCAGTGGGGCCGCGCGGTGGACTATTCCCTGATACCCTCTGTATAGAGGAGGCCTTTGCCCAGCAGTGGGAAATGTACAGGCTGTTACTTTACTTTACTTTACACCAAATTTATTGTCAGGTTATTAGCTTATTATTTATTAGCTGATTCGGCAAACGTTGTTTTGCCATATAAATTATTTCTAGAGGTATCGGAACACACGCATAAAGTGTTTGACAGATTACACAGACATTTTTGACAGGTTGACAGGTACAGTTTGTATGGGAAAATAAAATTTTTGCTATTTCGATTTTCCATGCAATTTTTCCATAGTTTCTCATCGTTTAAACCTTCCCTGGACTGCCACAAATATTTCAGAAACAAAATTAGCCAAATCGGCCCATCCGTTCTCGAGTTTTAGCGAGACTAACGAACAGCAATTCATTTTTATATATATCTAGAAGATTAGTTTCGAGCTATTTGCTTGGAACTAGCATGAGTTTTATGTATTTTGTTGATTTTTATGGGTGTAATTGGTATTCTCTGACGATACTGTGAAATTTTTATGTATGTATTGGTATTCTCTAGTTATTCCAAACTGGGAATGTAAGTTTTTCACTTATGCAAGCCACCTTCTTCCAGCTTTAGCGTAGGCTTTACGTTTATACCAAAAACTAAATAAATATCATTTATAATTATCAGTATTTCGAAATCAAGTCGAATCAAGATATGACTGACACAACTGTCATTTGTCAAGCAACAACTACACTGCTGCCAATGTTACACTTTCGAAATGTGCCTTATATCAATATTTACATCCGACAGTTTGGAATATGGAAAATTTTATATAAATGTGGCCGTATATTGGTCTGCGTAAGCGAAGCCAGGATGGGTCGGCTAGTATTATATAATCGAGCTGAGCCTGTGTTATACATGTGGGGGCGTATATTACAGTCGGTGGAGCGCGTTCGACATGCGGTTTGTGTTCGCATACTAACGATAACCGCACAATAACGCGCCACGCATCCCGCACATGTCCGATTGTTCCCCGAGGCGGTCGGAATGGGTCGAAACGACCGCGTGGAATTCGATACGAACCACGGGTGGTGATATCCTTTTGACAATGCAAACTCTCGTGTCGTGGCCGTGATGCATTGGAAAGCGATGGCCTATGGGTGGCATCACGAAAAGAAAGTCCCTGAAAGTGACATGTAGTCAAATGATCATCGTATAAAGGGTATGTATACGAGATTATAAATATTCTACGTAAGAAATACTAAAAATGAAAATGGTCAGATGCATATCACTAAGATTAGAACCCGTGACTTGACGAGACCAGGCTAGATCAGTTCTTTATTATTTATTTTTTATAAAATGCATATCGCTTTTTATATTACGTGTGAATATTTATAGGTAATTATAATAACACTTCAAATGTAACGCGTAACTAAATTCTTCTTTAATCAGCAGCATCACATCTTACGAATAGCGCCATCTATCTAGGTAGACTTCGTGTCATTAATTTTAAAAATAAGGAATGAAGGCATAAAAAAATTGAAGCGTACAGAGGTTTGTTCAGTTAATGGTTAGTTGTTTTTTGTGGAATTCAAAATGTTGCCGAGAAATTGTTGATGTTTTCGCGCAAATAGCGGATGTTATGTGGTCAGTGCATAATGCGCTCACAGTTTTTTTTAATGATACCGCGTCCCGCCATTATATGATTCAAGAAGTGTCGTGTACCAGTAAAAAGTCACGGCAGGATCTTTGCACGAATTGTCCCGTCGTTGGGAGGGCGCGGTGCTGCCCATTCCCGGGAGCGTCCAACCGTGCATTCTTCTCGGAAGGAATCCTAGGGCCACGTTCTGCCAGAATTCTGTTGCAATATTTTATATATTTAAAGCATAAACTTTAGTGATTTAAAGAGTCATTTAAATTTTCTGTACCTCAATATTTTATCATATACGTAATACAAAAGCTGTCTCTTTCATAAAATGAACTGTGTCGGTCCTCACATAAGATGAATTTATGTATTATTATGGACATGATGATATACGAATAAAATAAACAAGATAAAAGCTGATCATAATTCTTTATAAATTATAATTGGTTGCAAAATATTGACGGATTAAGATTAGACACTTTCAAAATCATTTGACTAGGTTTATCTTTGCATGGGGTAGGATTATGCCGTTCTTGTTTCATTTGGAACAAGCTGTGAGGAAATAAATATGGGCATCACAAAGGCATTCGATGTTGGATGAGGAACGTCGCAACGTCTGAGATTTATCGATAGTTTCCGTCGCGCATTCGGCGCGCTTCCTACGCTTTCAATTGGAAACGTTTCGCGTGTTCGACAAGTCAACGCCCCGTTTCCCTTTGTCGCTTAATGTATGCGCCCGAAGACGGCTCCCGTCATGAATTATTGCGCTCCTCAAACACGACGGGGACGGATCAACTATAAATATGTAAGCCCTAGTTCGATAGCCCTCGAACAAAGCGTTACGGGCCATTTCATGCGGGCACAATACTGCTCTCGTGTCGTTGACTTCCTCGCGCGTGTTGCTATAAGTCATACGGGCCTTACGGCTGCATTGCTTTATGCTTAGCCACATACATATTAAAAAGTTTTGCATATTCCATTATTGCTTTAAGTGCCATCTATTGGTGACTTCTAGTACTTTGATAAGTCACGTTACCTATTTTGACGGTTATATCAAATAGTACGATAAGACTTCAGTAGATGGCGCCATCTTTACCACAAAATATTACAATTGAAACTATTCATGGCATGTCAATATGAGCAGATCATTAGTGATAAAGAATTAAAAAATTAAATAATATTAAATTAACATTAAAAAAGTCTAAAATGTAGTCTTAAAATTAACATTTTATGAAATTATAACTGTACTGTATTGCTGGACACCATTATCTATCTATCAAGTGATTACACGTAACAAATAACGTCATTGATCGACGTCACATCCCACGTCACATCACATCCCGTAAACGATAATAAAGGTTTAATATAACAAAAAAGAATTGTTTATTTACTGATCGAAGGTACGGAGTTGCAGAGGTAAAAAACGCTTCTAATCGTTTGAATACAGAAAACCAAAGTCGGTCACGGTAAAGGCATTAAGAAACGAATGCCTCCGTACTCCGGGTAAAAATGGGAGGCAGGGATGTCCTGAAGTCAGATATTCATACCACACATCAGTACCATTGGTCACTGACTATAATCTGCTGTGACCACCTTAGCTATGGACATTTTACTACTTCAATTTTATACTTTTATACTTTTTTAATTTAATTGACTACTGCAAAATTCAAATATAGAAGCAGATTTTTTTAAAATACGACGTCATTACTCTAGTATCTAATCCAGAGCAATGTTCAAATCATTTACAATTCACGTAGTGTCATCGGATCGTGTTACGTGGCCCATTTACATGCGATTCGATCATTTGGCTGTTATTGTGTATAAAACAGACGCGTTTGCGTTTTTCAATACACAATGAAACGACATTGACTGAATGGTAAATAGATATATGAACCTGTTGTATTAATTACAAAATGTTTGAATAAAGCCTAAAATAAAATCTTTGACAAAATGATTTTTAACTCAGATGTTTATGTTTCTTACCTTCAAAAAATTCGAGGCATGCCTTAGAGTAGCGGAAGTTTTCTCAAACAAAGAATATTAAACAACTATTTTTTTAATACTATCAACCTTTATAATAAACAGAGTTTACTTTAAATCTCACAAAGAAAATATACCTTAGAGCTAATTATCACAGACACACTAATCTTAGTTATTATTACGCTAATTGCTATATGAAAAATTAACTCTTATTGCCATATTACGTTCATATGTCCTATTTCCTCCTTGTAAACAATACTCAATAAGAAATCAATATAATGCCAAACTCTTTATTTCACTCCTTATCTTTATCGGTAGCGCATTCTTGTTTATATTAAAATTTGCAACATTAGTTAAACACATATTAATAGTTTCAATTTAATTTTGGAATCGCGTGAATAGACTCCCGATTCACTGAATACACCAAAACTAATAAATAAATGATAAAATGAAATAAAATTAATGTCACGTACGATGCGTTCCTTCTAGTTGCGATCCCTTGATTTGTTGAAATATGCAGGCAACTATCATCATGTCGCTTTTAGAAGAAATATGTTGCCATTTAGTGTGTGTTACCTTTTCGCAACTAAAACGCAACAAGCATTTTGTCGTTCTATTACATTATCTGCCCAACACCGTTGTTTTTCTTTAAAACATTAACGGCCGGTTTCTGAAACACTGATCATCGTAGATATCAACTAATCAGCTGTCAAATGGTTTTCCAATTTCATTTTAGTTGCCAAAAGGATGGTTAAACTCTTTGGATTGATCGTTCTGATCATTAGATCATTCTGGTCAATTCAGAGCCTTTTAGCACCGTCCTTTGTGGCAACTAAAATGAAATTTGAAAAGCCATTTGACGGCCGATTAGTTGACATCTACGATGATCAGTGTTTCAGAAACCGGGCGTAAGAGTGTTAGGAGACAAACGTTGAACAAGTACTGTTTATGGTTTTTGCTTATGTTAGGTCTATATCAACTTTCATATCAATTCCCGCTGCCCGAATATTAGTACTGAAACGAAACTATGATGGGATGTAAAGTGGCCTAGGGTTGCCACACAGCCTTGAGGGAAGTGGGGAAAGTTTATGGTAGCATCTGTATGTTTCGTAGTAACTCTGAGCCCCTTCTTCTTTACCGAGTTGGTAATCCAATCCCAGTAGTAATCCCAATTCAGGATAACTCCCCATTAAGATTTCCCTCCGTGCCTATATAGTAATTTATAAACTCAACATCAGTCAAACAAGTGACAATTTGTCTAGAGTATGACGTAAACGTTTAGTTTAGTCGAATCGCTTTCCAGCCTGTTACTTTTCGCTGAAGAATCAACTGCCAATCATTGCCATCACCTTGCCCACCACGTTGACAGATCCAACGGGTTGAAGACTTTCAGCTGTGGCTCCTTCTCCCTCCCAGTGGACTTGTATAGATACATTCCGCGCGTCGCCGTGCTGCACGAGTAGCCGACCGAGGTTTTATTGCCAGTGCAGCGTCTCCTGTTCAGCTCGTCCCAGCTCTTGCAGCGACGCCCCATCAGCGCGTGGTCGTTCATCACGGAGGCTGAGAACAGGCGCCACGCTTGGGCGTGGTCGCATTCCAGGCTTATGCTGCGGTCAGAACACTCCGGCTGCTTTATCTTGACCCCGTTGGCGTACACGTCGATGTGTCCCAGAGGTAGCTCGAGACCCAGCACTCCGGCGCTCGTGTGCAGCACTTGAACAAATTTGGCGTCGCTCTTGTCCAGCCTGTACTGGGACGGTCGAGCGAAGCACGGCCGGGCTGGGTCAAGCGCAGTGATTCTGTCTAATTTCCTATTCAGATGCTTCTGTACTGATTTCCCTGCGATGCCGGCCACGTGTGCTCCCAGACTGAAGCCGATCAGGTGCACCGATGACATGGGGAATCCGTCATTGTCCATATTCTTCAGGAACTTGTACAGACGATGGCCGAGGCTGTTCACACTGGCTGCCGACGTGACGTACCCTTTGCAGAAAATCAGCCTCGTGTCCAGGACCAAGACGTAGGGGTTCTTGTTGAGCAGGGCTCCGACCAAAGTCTTAGACGACTCGTCGGCGGGCGTGTTCCACCAGCCGGGGATGTAGACCACGAGGGTGGGAGGCCAGTGGTCCCGCAGGTGCAGGTGGGCCTTCGACAGGCTGAAGCTCTTCTGCGAGTGGCGCTGGAACTGCACCACACTGATGTCGGGAACATATGCCTTCGATAGTAAGACGTCCAGCGGCAAAGCCTCACCTGAAATTTGGAGACCTTATTAAATAGGTATAACAATTACTGGTATACGGTTAACTGTAAATCAAATGTGGGGTCGTTGATCAAGTCAAGTCGCGTTGTGCTCCATTGTCAGAAAGTATTTCGGACTTTCTCGAAATTAATTGTGTATTCTAAAGGAGTAGCAGCACATTTGGGTTTTTGGCGAGATGTTTTCATACGCAATATCCGCGTATTGCATTTGTGTGATGATGAATATAGTGAAAGACTAAAACTAATACCGGACTAAAAATCTCAAAGCCTCAGGATATTAGTCACCACCATTATGAATTAATTAATTGGTAGATAAGGTTTTACAGCTAATACTAAAATACACTTAATATTTATATTTACCATTATAATTATTGTTTATTTTGCGTAAAGTATATAATCTTCGAAATTCATACAAAAAATATTGGCTTTTTCATTGAGATAATAACCTGAGGTTTATATGCGCGTTTATAGGTAAAGGACGTATAGATAAATACGTGACGGAGATTATAAGATATATGATTTGAAATTACATCCGTAATCCTACGTGATATCAACACGATTGTTCAATCTCGTTCGGTTTATTGTCGCTATTAATTCATTGACATACTATTCAATACAATTATAGTAATAAATTCGAGACTGGTATAAAAACCAAACTATGTTATCTTCCCGAATAGAGATGTCCACTCATTTAATAAGGAGTAAACAGTTCCTGATGATTATTAACGTATTGTTAAAAAATACCTAAAATCCCTAATGTTAATTAAAAATATTATAACAATGTAAACAGCAATCGTGAATGTGTGTATTTCCCATATACTATGAGCAATAAAAAAATTACCGCACAAATGAGATAACATTAAAGTTTGTATAAATTAACGAAAAGTTTTTCGCGATCACGGGAATCGAACCCGCAGCTTTCGGAATCGCGCCCTGACGTTTCAACCATTGAGCTAAACTGCTGTTTGCTACGCTGACGTTAATATATAGTTAGTATTTTTAAACCTAATCTATTTAACAAGACCTTGACATTTACAAAATTGTAAATCGCTTATTTGCAGTATTGTTAAAAATAGCCCTTTTAGATAATACATGTGACATCCAACACGTTGGTAACGTGCTCTTTAAAGAAAATTGCTTTTGTCATCAATAAAAATGATAGCAACAGAATACGACATTCAAACTGATTAAAGTTATAATTTAAAGGCAATTTAGCATAATAAAAATCTAAATCTATCAGTCAGATTACAATAGTTTTAAATAATCGTCACTGTGATTGTTGTGTTGACCAATCTCTTTATGGCAATGTAGAAAAGAGACTTCAATAGAAACATTTTCGGACACCACAACTTCGGGCAATGATCCTATATGATGGGCTACCAACTCGCACTTTTGAACCCAGCTTGTAAAAGCTGCGATTTCGGACCCCATGGCGGAGGCGGGACGGTCAGGCACCAGATAAGCCCAGCCAAGCTATCGCAACAATAGAGCGCTGACCTCGGAATAGTTTTCACAGGCCAACACTATGCTCTGAACACATTTTCTACTTTTAACATGGACTAATGAATGTGATTATTAGCTATTCTATTTACTATTGACGTCGAGGAGAGACAATCGTTATTTTTTAAGTGAGAAGGTGATAAGCTAGTTGGCCGTTCACCTGATACCTCACTCACCAGACGAAACGAAGAATATTAATTAACAAAACAAGCTCGACTGCCTAACCTAAACACACATTTCTACCGGAATTGAAAAAAAAGTAGGTCTAATATTTGACAGTGATTGTACCACTTAGCCGATCCGAGCTACGGACTATTTATGGGATCACTGTTGCGCGTCAATGTTCCACGAAACTATAACGGAGTCTACACGCACCATGCCGTATGATGGTGTTTGTTACACTAAATCATCCGTCATTATTTGCAAAAAAATGATATTAGGTTAAAACCTTCTCTTATAAAATTTAAATTCGGCGAAGCCTACTATTTGGTCATATAATATACCGCATAACGAACAGGTAACTAACGTCAATGAAACAGATTTAATTCAGTCACACTTACAAGTAAATCGCAGAAGCTAACAAATAGAAAATCAGAAATTTTACTAATCACGATTTTTGATACTAGCTTTGAGCTGAGCTGCAGTGTATACTTATATCAAGCCATGTTTTATTTAAAATTTCAAAAAGATAAGACAGCCAAATCACAGAAGAATACAAAATTTCACTGCATCACTTCGCTTATCGTTCCTTTATTAACTAACGCACAAACTTAATAATCACAGGATTCCGATCAAATAAAAGGAAGTTTCAATTGCACTAAAGAATTCCAAATAAATGAATCCAATTCTCAACTGCACTAAATGCAAAAACGATTAAGAATCTGTCAATCGATAGTGGAATGTGTCGAGTGCAATCTCCATAACGTTGTTTCTATGAAAGTGAGCCACGCACAGGTCTCGGAGGCGGCGCGCACGATCTCGTCCAGGTTGCCCCCGAGCCAGGGCGGCAGCAGCTGGCCCAGGCCGCCCAGGGCGTCGCCCCCCACCCCCACCAGCGCGGCGCACAGCCACGCAGCCGCCGCCGACCACCGCATAGCGCCCACTGAACCACCACCCTTGATCTTCGCAGCCGGCCAGCGCGCGTCCGCTAGCGCGCACAACTTAACGTGATAAACGTAATGGCAGACTTGACGCCGCGGCCGGAACTAGTATTTCAATGTATCTGTGAGTTTTTTACATCACCAATTATCTAGTCTCTCATTACCAACCTAATGCTCGTAAGCACGTAAACTCGGTGAAGCGCGAACTGCACCCGATATTTCTATATTTACAATTGCAGATGAAAAATGTATATGAAACTTTCTTTTTTTTTGTCTACGGTTTTCTATTACGAACTGCATAATGACACGTATATAGTAGTCAATATCCGTTATCTAATACCAGACGGTAAAGGCGCTTGCTCAGAATAAGCAAGCATACAAACAAACCAATGACTTTTGGCTATAAGACACCAGACACAGTAATCGGACGGAAATATTGACGGCATAAAAGTGATGTATTTTTTAATACACGCAATACTAACTTATTGGTTGGTTGGGGCCAAAAAAGGGATGGAGGCCCGGATTCGGTCCCCGTTAGGTGGTTTGGCATACATCGCTAACTTCATTGAACTACAACGGCTCAATTGACACATGTTGGAAAGCAGATAATTGAACATTGACCAAATAATAGATATTCATCAAATCAAGTGATTTTGACCATCCTCTGATTTCAATTGCTTCCAAAAACTACAATTTTAATGCAGATCAATTTATGTTTCTTACAATATTAACTAGCATAGCCGTGAATAGAAGATGGATAAAATTATTAGACGGAATTAAATTAAAAAAACGTTTCAAAATCTAGTCATTGGTCAAGATTTATTTCATAGATTAAATTTTACAAGATTCATTATAATAAAATATATTATGTAAACAAAAGCAAAGAGCTTTTTGTCTAAAAATATTTAACTGGGTGTTACACCGTACCCGAATAGCAACGAATCTATATTTCTGTAGTAGAATATCGTTAGAATCCGTAGAATATTCATCCTGATAATATTATGCTTAAGTTTTTCTTTACATTTCGTGGTGTATTTGGATTTTGCGTTATCATCGAACATGAAGTTATAGAAATTCTGCAAAATCATTTTATTAGATTGCTAATAATTGGCAAATATTTATTGTGACTCAATAATAACGTTAGTGCCTACTTCCTGATGCACGCGTATGCCGTGTTATTTTAATATGTAATATGAAATACTACCCAAACATTTATAGTCGTTAAAAAGGATTCGACGACCATTGCTGGTCTTCAGTTTATGTAAACAAACAATTTCTTCAGTTGTCAAAATTACGTCGTCATCAAAAAATTGGTTCCGGAATACAAATACACAGCCAGGGTTCACTTTTTTAAAACATTATGGGTGTTGCAGATATCCACGAGCGGCGCCTACCAATTAACATCAGGTGAACCGCCCAATTCTCGTGCGACGTTGTCACAAAAAAGAATATTTAAATAATCAACATGCCAATGTTCTATCCAATAACGGTAAGCAATAATATTAAATCATTTATTGTAGGTAATCGAGTAAAAATTTTGGACGACCTATATCAAATACTTCCTCGTTTCCCTAAAGCAGAGAGATGGTTGTATATCATTTAAGACTTTTTTTTAGAAATCATCGGCTAGTATTATATGATATATGTTGTATACATATTTCCTAAAGCTTCAACACCATGAGTTTTAAAAGAAATTGAAATAATAATTGTCTAAAACACACAACCCTGGGGCACCTTCTCATGTTTTAGTTTCATTATTAGTTATAATATATATTAAAGAGTCTAAACATAATTGACGTAACAAACATTGCCGTCGATAACTCGAGGTTGTGCAACAGTAGGAGCTGGCCTGTGACTTCGCTGAGACCTTGGCATTCGAACATCGCTTACTCCTAATATTTAATTCGCGCTTCGAATTAAAACGTCAGATGAAGATAAGTATTGCATAAAGCGGTTGGCTCAGTAAGCCATATAGCACAATACTTTTTTCATATTGTTGTGGCAATATGAAGAAAAGACTTTATTAGGCTATGCATTTTAATCGAACGACCAAAAGGCCCGTCTATTTCATCGTTTATTTAATATTGATTTGAAAGCGTGGGATATTTAATCTTTACTGAATTTCGGAATAGGAGAAAGACAAATGTCTTAAAGCGTTCTTTATCGGTCAATATCTGGCGTGGCGAGATCTTATGTAGGTGCAATAAAATCTTAAAAACAATTTAATAAAAATATAAATACTATATATAATAAAAAGATAAATACAGGCATATATAAAACATAACATACTTCGCGCACCAGCGGGGTGCCCTACTTTTCAAAGTACAGAGGCAACGTCTACAAGCCCGACAGAACCTATCTCTGCGAACTATCGTGTGAGCGGGAGTTACGTCAGGAATGACATCGATTTGAAAATCCACCCTTTGAAATTTCGTTGTCCATATCGCTAATAAAGTGCCACATCCACCTGCAAGGAATGGCGCGCGATCCCACGATAGACATTGTCGCTGCTTGCCCCGTCTGAACCTAGGGAAGGCGATGACGGGGTCGACCTACGATATATATCTAATGCTTAATGAATAGCCGTAGTTACGGGCATAAGTTCGTTTATTTTCAACTAGCCCAAGTTGGTATTGATTATTTAATGGCATTTATTGTATTGAGGGTGCCTTTATTCAAGATGAAGTTAAATTATTATTCAGTAAATAATTATCGAGTTTCCTTATTATTAAATACGAAATAATAATAAACAAACGAACTTATGTTTACGTGAGTACTGTACATGGTTAAATGAAACTATTTTATGGACTTTATCGCGTTTTATTTTTATTTTAAATTGTTAACGTTTGTTAAACACTGAGCACGAGATATTAATATTAATCACACTACCTTGTTATTCTGGACGGTTTACACGGACCGGACTCATAAAGTCCAGTCCGTGTAAACAGTTCATTTGTTTATTACTATTTCGTATTTCGAGTTTCCCAATAATTGAGAATTTTGATTATATAACTGTTATATTGAGTACGTAAGACCCTTCTCGCGATACGAGAACGACAAGTACTTGTAAAATTATAGGCCCACTAACAGTGGTAACTTAATTAGAAGCATGGTTTGTACAATGACATGGGACGAAGGCTGACTGTTAAAGCCATTTGCATTAAAAATTATACCATAAGAAATGCGGAGTCACAGTTTACACAAAATATTATTGCGCGATCTTACTGACTAAAGCCTTGGAAAGGATTGCAAATTTCATTAAGTATTAAGTGAAATAAATAATTTTTGTCTAATTTCTGAAAGTTATTTATAAATCGAGTAAAACCCAATCATTACGACGAATAATTAAGAACGATTTATTAAACTACTCGAGACTTTTCTTATATTAAAATGAGATTAAATTAATCACATTAATTAAAAAGCAATTTAATACTTTTCTAACAAAAATTAATTTAACTGCTTTACACTGGGGAGGCATTGACTCTATCAATTTTTGACATTTCGCAAAGGAGAATTATCACACTGTCGATTTGAAACCTTTTTCTTGACTTCGCAGAAGATGCTGTATTAGGTTTAGATCAGAGTTGTTAGTCTTGGCCAATCTAAGACAAACTGATTGCGATATATAATTCCTTAGCGGTTTGTACAGTGGCACAGTATGCTTTGGATCATTGTCGTCTTGGCATGTTCAAATAACCGGAAGCACGTCTTCGGCTAAGGTAATATTGTTTCTTCCAGTATATTTTTGTATTGTAGAAGAAACAAGGAACAATTCATTGGAATTGTTCCTTGTTTCTTCTATCAGCTGAACAAATCCAAGACCGTGTCCAGAAAAGCACCCCTTAAATTTCCAGACAAGATTTAATGTTAATTTTGGGCACTTGGGTCGAATGCTTTATTTCAACGTACCCTGTTTGTGTTTGTCTCGTCAGAAAAATAACCTTTTTTCCCCTACCTAACTGTCCAGTTTTCATACCTTCTTGTTGTATTTACAACCTGTCTTGACAATGATACCATTTGAACATATGTGGCACCTTCCTTGCTATACTTCCGTGCAACTTCGCATAGTGCGTGCCGAGATTACTGAACGGATGTTTTAACCAAAATATTCTTTTCTTAGTTTATTAGACCTTTTAAAAGGATTCTGTTTTGCCAGTCGAACAATATCTTGACCATCTCGACGAGATGATTACCTCTGCTTAGGCACATGCGGAACATTTAAAGTATTTTGATACGTAGCAAAATCCTTCACAGCGTAGAAAAATTGAAATGAAGAAAGAATTGAAATTAATCATTTAAAATATGAACTTTATTCATATGATGTTTGATTTGTTTAATAAACCCTGGTCAATAGTTTCTACACATCCATACAGCGAGGGATAAATTCTTTTGGTCATTGTTTTTTATCGGTTACATGCATGCACGTTGGACCACCGGCCGTCGCGAACTTGAGGGGCATATTAATTTATACTTACGAGCAAAACCCCATTGAAAATGCCATAAGCGATCACGGTTAACCGTTAAAACAAACGCCGTTGCCGAAACAATATGCTGTGTAGTTTGGCCAAAACCTGCGTCACAGATTTATTCTCTGCATATTTCCTGGTCATGGGAACCATTTAATAATGTATAAAAACAATGGCAGTTAAGAAAAAAATTGAACACACTAGTCCTATACAACAGTGCAGTTTTGTAACAGTAATTTTTCGTCGGTCAGTTCATTGGAGCCGTTTGTGCAGTGTTGGTGCCACGGTGGAATTCGTATTCGTAAACAACAGAATATTAAATAACAGAATAAACAAATACAAGAGCTCGAAATAAATTTCAATGTGGATTTCCTAGTGAAACGCTAGATGTTTGAGATCAAAGTGGCCAGTTCGACGAAACGCTAATTTCACGTGTAATTTCTTAATAATATCATAGAATAACACATCCCCCGTCGAGGCGGCGAGGTAATATTTATTCTAAAACACGGTTACAAGGCTTCGTAAGATCTAATCGTTCGTAATGTTATGCGGAACCGCTAAAGAGACGGTCCCCTCACCTTGATGCCACCTGTCAAGGTCAGTGACACACTGAGCGCCCCCGCTTAAAAACAGTATTGGGGTCAAATCAATTTCCGAGTTCAAGCTCCGAGGACCGGTTTTAGCAGCTGTTCAGACTTTAGCAAATGAAGATACTGTGACAAAAAAACGATAACAACTAACTCCAGTTCCTTGGCTTTGTGTAATGCCCATCCTCGTATAAAACAAATGCCTACAGATTTTATTTTTATTCACTGTATGTAAAATTTCAACTTATTAAATTTTCACCCGTTTCTGAAAATATAATAAGTTGAGATATTTTTAAGGAAGCGTTATATTTTCCCATTCCCCAAATGCGAATGAACAGCTTAATTAGCAACTTGGAAGATGAGAAATCAAAAAATTAAGCTAAGGTACATAACATATCGTAGCGGCTATGATAATCGATTAATGTGGATTATTCCATTCAATCATAAATATGAGAACCCTTTATACCCATACAATCATAAATATGAGAACGCTTTATACCCATACAATCATAAATATGAGAACCATACACTAAATGATTTTATCAAACAAAAAATTTAAGTCCATTATCTATACAGATAAATAAAATTGGAGTGTCTGTTTGTAATATTAAAATAACGGCTTTTTAATAAATGAAAAGGGAAGTATACACGCTACATGTATCAAAATAACATTTTTTACAATTTTTGTCTGTCTGTCTGTCTGTTTGTTCTGGAAAAGAGGCAAATGAGCAGGTGGTTCACCTGATGGTAAGTGATCACCGCCGCCTATGAAAATCTGCAACACTGAAGGGCGTGCCAATGCGTTGCCGGCCTTTTAGGTAGGAATATGTCTCATTGTTTGAAGGACCCCAGATCGTAACGGAAAGACAAACAGTGGCAGCTGGTTCCACACAGAGGTAGTGCGACGCGGGAAATGCCTGGAAAATTGTGCTGTTACTGTTATTCTGTTGCCGGTGTAACAACAGATACTAAAAAACAGAATAAAAAATATTTGAGTGGGACTCCCATACAATAGACTTGATTTTTTTGCCGTTTTCATCGATAATGGTACAGTACCCTTGGTGTGCAAGTCCGACTTTCACTTGTTTATATATTGTATATAGTGTTTTAGCTCAGCCGTTTAGCTCATTGGGTAGAACTTCAGGCGCGAAGGGACAGGAAGGAACGGAAGCGTTTTTTACTAAAGTTTTTATTAATCTTTCACATAAATCTCATTTTATAAATCTAGATGATATTAAACAGCGAAGTTAATGCGTTCTTATTGGGGTAGAAAATGAGAACGATCAGCTGCTAGGCGCTGGGACTCTAATGCCCAGTTTCCGAAAGGCCAATCAAAGCAGCAATCACATAACACTATGTCAAAAATGATCAGCTGTTAATCTCTTGTTAAACTGCCTTGGGTTTCTGGAAGGTTTGTTCAAGAAAAATTAGCTAAT